TTTTATTTCTCTTCTCTTTACTGCTTAAGCTTTAACCCTTTTTCCAATGCCAACTGTATGTGTGTGTGTGTGTGTGTGTGTGTGTGTGTGGGTGGGTGTATGTGTATGTTAGACTAGTTTAAGTGTTTATGTAGTTAATAAAGTCTTACTTGTATCACACTTGAGGTTGTTCATTGTTTGCTCATAATTGGAGTCCCTAATCATGCAGATTTCTGCTACATGCTCTGTGTAGTATTGTACAGTAAGAAAGTTATTTTCCTTAACCAGGATATTAACGTTCTTAGAATTGACTGACAGTTGACACTGAGAGGTCAAGTAAATACTTTTTAGTTTTAATTTTATTAGTTATAATTAATTATTCATATTTCCCCTTTGAGCTGATTCGCTACATCATTCACACCAGCAAGCACATGAAATTACTGTTTATCTTTTTACAGCAGTACAGTTTCCTGAGAATTCATCTTTATAAGGAACTAGATCAGAGAGAGAGAGTGTGTGTGTTGATTTCTGACTCATTCTTCTGATTCTCATGTCTCTTCCTGAAAGAAAGCAGGAAGCAGGTTGCAGTTGTTTTACAGAAGTGAAAGAAATTTCAGAGCTGCTGTTCAACACAACGGTTCAGAGGAGGAAATAGAAATATCTAGAAACATTGTTTGAGGTGAGTGTTTGATCTTTCTTTAGTTATTTTCATGTATGAGTGTAATCTTATGATGTATCATTGGTCACTCTGAGTTTATGAGATTTTAATGCTGTGCTGAAGTCATTTTGATGATTTTATTTAAAGCTCTTCATGTCGTGATCAAACAGATGATCAAGTGCGTCTTTGTCAGTGAATCATGGAGAGCTGCTCATTCTGATATTGTTGTCACACCGTGTGAAATCACTGTTTCTCTCATTTTACTGTTTATTAGTGAGTCTGTGATTTCAGTATTTCTCATCATGCACTCTTTACTCTGAGGCAGAAACTATCACTCAACATCTTCATGCATCTGCAGACTTTTTTTTACTTCAGTTCACACTGTAGGTGTTGGAAAACAGAATTATAGAAATAATAAGGAACTCTCAATATTGAGAACTCCCATTGCAAAAATAAAGTGCCCATAAATGTATAAAGTTTG